AGGAGATATAGCAGCCCAGCAGGAAGGTCGGCGTGAGCTTCCCACCACCATGCCCCACCATCACGTGTGCCTTCCCTGGCACCTCCCACAGTCTCCTTCAGTGGCTGTGATCCTTCTCCATTTTTTGAAAAGGAAATCCAGGAAGCCCCCGATCAAGCCAGTCGTCTGTTGTGAGAGGCCAGTCTGAGAACTGTAAAACTGCCCAGGGTTTCAAGGCTTGCGTGAGTCTGTGATTCACTCCACAATGGGTCCTTCAAGCACGCCTAAGAGAAATTACAGGTTTCTCTTGTCTGCAGCATATCCATTAAAATGAGTCACTTGTTTGTCCTTTAATTTCTCATCTTTATCTCAGATGATCACATGATATTCTGTGTTGCATCTACTGCGCAGGTGCAATTAGAACGCAAGGGCTAAAATGCAAGGTCATGCTGCTGTCATTGATGATTTTAGAAGGCTATCATGTTTTTGCCTGTATTGATGTTGAACGTGGGGAAAAAATGACTAGGAAATTGATCAGTAAATAATGATCGAATCCCTACCTCAGCACCAAAGAGATTTTTGTTTTATTTTTTAGTAACTTGGCCAAGGAGTTCTTATTGACCTTCTACCTTGGGCCATGGCCTCCACCTACAGGAAACATCACGTAATCTGACTTCCGAAAGGGTAGCCAGTTTGGATTGTCCTTCTCATCATCAAATAGTCCCACACATCCCAGTTCCAGTGTCTTCTATTTACATATCTTTCTGTCCCCAAAATGTAATATGAACCTTCACTTAAATATTGCCAGGGGAAATGTTGACAATAAGGAGGACTAAATGAAAAAGCAGTTTTGTTACATCCTTTACACGAATGAAGATCAAAGAAACGATATTTGTGGAAATAGTTCACTTCTGTTGAGGTTGCTAGTTAAGTACCGAGTCATTTGGGAATTGAAAAAACCAGTATCATCAAACCTTTGGTTGTGTAATCAAAGGACTTTATTGAACATATTCTATGTGCAAGACATCTTGAGCTGCACTTTGGGCATACAAAAGTGAGTAACATAGTGAGTTAATCCTACCCCTAGAGGTTTATAGACTTATCTGGGAATGAAAATATATGCACATGAAAAAGACTAAAATTAAACAAACAATATAACACAATAAATACTAAAAATGAAGCGAATGGCACTAATTATAAATATTGTAGGAAATCAGGTGGGGAGAATCAGCACTTCTGGTTGGACTAATCAGGGGAGACTTCATGGAGAAGGCAAAAAGTGAAGCCAAGCTTGGACACAGGGTGGCCTGAATAGAACCCTATGATGTACACTGTTTCCCAGACAGGGAATTATATATATTACAACTGTGGGAACATTGACCAAAAGGATTATTCAATGTCAAGCTCAGATACTCCTGATGTTGAACAAACTGAATCAACAAACTTAATTCTAACTTACAAGTCAGTGAACTAACTCTCATGAGAATGCCTACATCCAAACTCATGGCCATGGCTGTGTGTTTGCTTGTGTTTGTGTGTGTCTGTGCATGTACATGAATTCACAGGTACTTTAATAAAAACCACTAACATTTTAATGGCCAATTATAATTTGGCAAGTACTATTCTTAGTATTTTGCCTACATTTATTCATTTAATCTTTATAACAATCCTATGAGGTAGGCTCTATTTTCCTCAATTTATAGATGAGTAAAATTAAAGTCTAAAGAATTTAAATAACTTTCCCAAGGATCATCATGTATTAAGTGTTCTAACCACGTATCTGCCTTAGTCACTGTTAGCACCAATTTTTCCTTGAGTCATCTGACAAAGTCACTTCTTTGATGAGGTGTGAACAGGACATTGAATGTGTCTCCACCGAGGGTATTCCACAGTCAACCTAATCCATACAGTTCATGGACATGTTTCAGGATGGGGCAGACTGAATTGTGGGCTGCAGGAGAGGGCATAGCTTGTTCAACGGATTCCCAAATAATTTCATAGTTTCTCTGTCAGCACACATGGGCCTTAGTTAATAATAATTCCTAGAGAGAATGTTTTTCTAGCCATCCTATTGTAGGGAGTGAGTATATCAGAGTAGAATGTGCTTTCATACTAGATGTGACTGCTCCATACACAATGCAGATGAAAGGTCTCTCTTTCTCTCCCTCTTTCTCTCTCTCTCTAGTGCTCAGAGTTCCCATCCATAAAATGAGGCAATTGGATCCAGTCTTTTTTAAAGGTTTTCTAGATTTGTAATCCTATAACTACTTGGGTTCACGAAATTCTCTCCTCACTTTAATATATTGACTCTGAGTAAGTGACATTTCTTTGTACTGAAATCTCTGTATTGAGAAACCAAGACTGTGCCTGTCCCACTCCCTTTCCTTGAAGAGATCCTACAGAAATACTGGGAAATGTCAAATTCAAACCATTTTCTGACTTGAGAAAGGGGCAATTGTTGTCCTAATATGAGTGATACCATTGAAAGGTGACTCATTCTTCAGGTGGTGGATTTTTCTACCTTCTGATTGACCTCTTTATTATATTTTTGCTTTCTCAAACTTCCTTACTTAGAGGAAATTTTTTGTAAGAGACAAAGAAAGAAAGATCCCACTGATTCACAAAGCGAACCTTATTTTTCCATTTACAATGGAACATCATTCATACAGGCTTCTTGGTAAAAGAATAGGGGCCACCCTTTGCGCCTTTTCTTTTATCTTCTAATTATCTTTTAATGTATCAGCCTGTGTACTTGCTTTAAAAAGGAGGGCTTTTTTCCTAAAAAGGTTTCTATCTATAGTATTGCTCTCCTATCTTGTGGCTCATGGCTTAAATGTTGAATTTGTTTATATACAAGGTTAAGAAAATGAGCAGCTCTCTACTGGGAATATGATATTTCCCCCTTCCTCATCCCATTCAAAAACACATATTGTTGGTGAGGGTTAATTTTACATTGTCAGAGCAGGCAAACAGTCCCTGGGTGGCTCCAGGCCCTTGGAGAACGTTCAGGACTGGGAACCTGCAGACTTGGGTTTCGGCTTCTGGCTCAAGCCTCCATTAGCTGTGACCCATCGCTCCAGGCTTCAATCTCCTTAACTTAAAATGAGCATCTTTTTAGAAGATTCCTGCAAAGCCCAACAAAACTGAGGAAATAAATGAAATACGTGTTCTTTTTAATAAAAAACAAAAAAGCATCTTTCTAGTTCAAGAGCTCTACCTATTTCACTTGCCTCACAGTCAAAGAAGTTGCAAGCCAAGTTGACCATGCAATCAATTTAAATTTGGAGGGGTGGAATATGCTAGCAATAGGATTCCTTTTGTACAAAGAACCAGCAATGACCTACTTAGAGTCAGCTCAACTCCTGGTGACTATTCATGAGGGCCCCTCCCTCAGCAACCCACAGAATCCAGCCAGGTGACATCCCAGGCCACCTTAGCTGAAACGAGCCAGAGTAATCTTCCTGAGGATAAACGTGACCCACAGCCAGGAGCTAGAGGCGCAACAAGGGTAAGGGCCTGCTGTGGCCCACTTTGCCTTTCTGTTCCCAAGTCGATCTGCAGAATGGCATATATGTGTGTGTGTGTGTGTATTGTGTGTGTGTGTGTGTGTGTGAAAGCACGCACGTACATATGCATGTATGTATATATACACACATACATACACACGCACACACACACAGACACATATATTTCACACACACACACAGTTGATGAGGGAGAAACATTTAGCAGCACAAAAGTAGACAGAGGGGACTTCCACCCTTTCCTCATGGCATGCCCTCCTCCGTCAGCGTCACAGTGTGGGAGACTTCCTTCATACTCTCCAGAGGCAGGAAGACAGGAATAAGCACATTTCTCCTGGGGCTCTGCCATTCCTGGGATGTATGACCTTGTCAAGAACAGAAAATCACAGCTTTAATATGTAAGTAGCAAGACCTAGAAACCTCAGGACAACTGCATTATTGGCTCGCTCTGTTTGAAACAATAAGCCCCTTTGGGTAGAGCCCTCCTGACAAATGGAGAGTATCTTCCCTTTAAATCACTTTGGAATCCAGGGAACAGGCTTGTTTTATTACCAGATGTGCTGAATTACAAACTTTGTCTTTCTCTAAGCTAGACTATTTCTTTTCCTCTTGGAAAATACCCCTTGCTCTGTATAAGGCCCTGGGATGCTGCAGAAGGCCTTAGCCACAGAGGCTGCTGGAAGCCTGATGTATTGGAGTGGGTGTGGGGGGGCTCTTTCTACATATCTAAGTGCCTCTCTGCATCTCTCTCTGTTTCTGCCTCTGTCACTTGTATGTGTTTCTGTGAGAGTTTTAATCTGTGTCTGTGTCTCTCTCTTTCTTTCTGTATTGCAGGGTCTCTCCCTGTAACCTTTGGCCTCTCTCTGCATCTCTCTGTCTGGCTGTTTTTGTGAGTTTCCCAATGTGGGTGTCTCCATCTCCCTATCTGATCTTCTCTCTCTAGATCTAGAGGGACATGAAGACAAAGGCTAGAAAACTTATTTGCACACGTCTGTGTATCTGGACGGCTCTCTTCCAACAGTGAGCCACCATGCCCCTTGGGAAGTATCTCTTTATTCCTGTTTGCCCCTGCAACTCCTTTCTCTGTGTTTGTCTCTATGCTTCTGTCTCTCAGACGCCTCAAATGTAAATTCTATATTATCCCTGAGGCCACTCACAGATAGTGTTTATCATAATTCCTTGATCCTTTAACATAAAGGAAAAGAGAGGGGCCACAGTGGGAAATCTGGGGATACTGTTGATATCCCAGAGGACATCCTGGGACTGGGGAACAAGAGAGGAGGAGGAGGAGAGGGGACAGCCTTGTGGAGCTGCCACCTCTAATGATTCTCCTCTTAAATACACCCAGGCAAATTTATGAGCATTCTCAGACAGTCCTGATTGTTTTACAGGGACAACCAGAATTTCAGTCATGCAAGAATTAGAAGTGTGAATGTATCTCTAACTTCAGCTAGCTGAAGCTAGATTGCATAAGGAGAATTCTCTCAAACAAGAAAAGAAATCATTTCTAATTAGAATTAATCAAACTGTGATTTTTTTTAAAAGAAATGTCATCTATATCAGATGTGTATGGGGACCCCTTGCATTGCACTCACCTCCCAAATTAGGAGTATTGCCTGGTTTCTTAACTGGGCCTTTTGGTGTGGTGACAAGAGAAATCAGAAGAAAGGTTCTGTTGAAGACAAAAGTATAATTGCATAGTCATTATTAGTCTGTTTTCAATTGTCAGAATTATTCAAAGCACATGGAGAATTGTGACCCACAGCAATTTATTTTATCTCTTCACTTTTTCCCTCTCCTTGTTTATATTAGAACCTAGAACCTCTGACAACATAGGAATGGACTGGTGTGAGACATTGCCCTTCTCCCCGGCCTGGCCTGGATCCCTATCCTGAAGGAGTCTCTAGTTTGGGAGGGAGGTGGGAGAGGCAGTTGAGCTGCACAGAGGGGGAGATTAACACTGAGATGCCTCACATCCCTCAAATTGCTCCTCCTCACCTGGCCTGCCGAAATCCTCAAGGTCGCAGCCCTTCCCTTGTGATGCACCCGAGTTTAAAATATCCTCAGGTTTTAAGTATATGTTGCCTAAGATAGGTGATGCATTAATTCACGGGTAAAATTATTACCACAGGAGCATAAACTTATTCATCACATAGGATATAAGATGAACACAAATCATCACAATGATTATCCTAGGTTTGAGGAGCTGGTCCTGACATGGCCTGGGCAGGTACCACATGGAGAAAGAGTTAAATCTGGACTGTAGAGGATGGCCACCTAAGGATCAGAAGCCTATAAAGTTGGAGAGGAGGAGACAAATGATAAAACTCCTCCCTCTGAGTATGGCCGATAAACTGACTTGGTTGAAAGCTAGTGAGCAGAGTGAAGGAAGGATTGCAAAAAGTTGGAATAAATTTACTTAGTACCTAACTCAGTGGTTCTTAATCCTGGCGGCACTTTAAAATCTCTGGGGAGCTTTTTAAAAAAAAAAAAAAAATGACCAAACCCTACCTCTAAGACTTTCTGGTTAAATTTTTCTTGGGTGGGGCCAAGACAGTGGTATTTTTAAAAAGCTCTCTAAGTGTCTCTAAGGTGCAACCAGCATTGAAAACCACTGACTCAGACAATCAACAAACTGATAATAAAATAAAATTTTATTTTATTTTAATAAATAAATAAAATTTATTTATTAAAATAAAATTTAATAAAATTCTGGGTATGATTTGGATGTATTTTTTTAAAAAAGGAAAGAGAGAAAGTGGGGAAAATGTCTGTTTTCCCATGGCTGATGAGCAGAATTTCTCTGTGGTGGCTAAATGGATCAATACAGAAGGAAAGGTACAATGCCAAATGGGACCGGATAGTAGTTAGTCTTCTCCCCTGAGGGCACGGTGACAGACCAGAGTGAGGTAGTAAGGAATACTTAGAAAATATTTATAATGCTAAGACACTTTAGGAAGGCTTATATGAGTGGGTCCCAACCTTGATTACCTTAGACTCATGCCAAACTCAAGCCATACTGCAGACCAATTCAATTAGAACCCCCAGAGGTAGCACCCAGGCAATGTGTTTTGAAGCTTCCTGGTTGACTCTGATGTTTGGCCAAGGTTGGGTACCACTGCTTTAGAACTAGCGCTTTATTCTCAGCACAGTACGATAGGGTTTAAGGTGTGGGGGTGGGGGCGGTGTTTGTTTGTTTTTCAGAAAGAAGGAATGTAGAGGAGTTGGCAATCTCCCGATTATGAAGACCGAAGACTGGGAACAAGGTCAAAGCTGTGGTAAGTGTAAGGCAACAGGGGATAGGAATATAAAGGAAAGAAAAAAAGAGAAGACAGGAGGGCTAAAGAAAGCAAAGAATAGGGAACAAAAGACAAGGAATCTAGGGAGGGGGCAATGCTGTTACCCAGGGCCCGGCCTCTTGAATGATCTGTCACCCCTTTCCATGCAAATCTCCTGCAACACCATTCTATGCCAGCCCACGTTGATCCCATCGGATGTTAGTGTGGGAAACTGTAGATGGCCTCTTCTCTTGTTGCTGGGTATGTTCTCTGAGCCAACCCTGAATCTCCTTTTGCTGTTATTTAAAAGTTTTCCGGTTTTTCATTTACTCAGAACAGCTGTTGGGTTGCACCTTTGCATAACAATACTATTTGATTTCTAAATTATAGGAATTGATGATAAATGAAAAAGGACGCATACTATCCAATGACAGAACAGGCTCTTAACCTTCTTTTACAACTCCAGTAACCATGGCAAATGGCCCCTCTTGAAAATCAAGCTATTGGAAAGTCCTTTGTGTAGGGTCAGAATCTGTTTCCCTGAAATTTTCACACTTTGGAATGTGATTCAACCAATTGGAGTTATAAAGAACAAGCAGGCTGTCATAAAAACCCGAGGCTTTTCATCATCTGTCATTTCTCCGTTTCATCACCTGCTCTCCTGCTATGTGCTTTGAGGTTCTCCCCTCCAGGAACTGCCGCCTTGTCACTCTCCTCTAAATGCATTTGTCTACTTTTGTTTCTTTGGATGTGGTCCCAAGACTCCAGAAAGAATCTGAACAGCTCAAAGAAGCACTCACTCAGCCCTTCGGAAAAATCCATACCGTAAAGTCTTAAGGTGATCGTTAGCAATACTCCACCTGCGAGAAACTCCAGCATGGTTGTTATTTTGTCAAATTTTTAAATGCAAAAATGACTGTGAGGGCTTTACCTCTGGTATTCTGGAGATCCATTTTGCAGAGGTTATCCGATTCTTTAAGGCTTCTCGTATCTGGATAGTTAACGAAAAGAATTAAGAATTAAAAAATTATAAGAAATAAACACATGTGCTTGGGCCTGGCAAATATTGTGCAAGGGAGTATGTTGCCAGCCAGGTATGGAGGGATTAGTAACTTGGTGGAGTGGTCTGGGAAAAGATGGGGAGATAGGGAGAAAGAAGAAAAGTGAAGCTAGAGTAGGAGACTTATATAATCAGGACCCTGAACATGAACCCGGTGGCTAAGAAACACAGTTTGCCACAAATTAGAGGATTCCTTGACAGAGTTTTGGAAATATTTGGGGGGAGTACTTGAGTAGTTGAACATTTCCCACAGGCTATCAACTATTCAAACCTTTTCTAGAGTGCCTAACCATGGTTAAAAAAAAAAAGAAGAAGAAGAATCCTATACAGCATAACAAAGGCTTGTGGAACCAAGAAAATAAGAATAATAAACAACTATTATATTTTGTTTTATAACTTTAAAGTGCTTTTCACACCCATCATCTTATTTTATCCAGAAAATAACCCTGTGAGATAGGTACTATTATCCCCATTTTACAATTAATGAAATTAAGACTCCGAGATTAAGTAGTACTCAAAACCAGTGAACTACAAAGAGGAAGAGCCAGGAGCTGAATTCCTGTCCCCTGACTCCAGACCACCCTGTCATTTTCTCTGAGTCTCTCCTATCGTATATGGGCATTCTCTTCTTACTTCTATTTCTTCTTCCGCTTTGCTATACAAGATGTTATTCACCTTCCAAGGCCTTATAGAAGTTCTTTCTTCACAGTTAATGTATGCTAAAGTCCTCTAGCTCAGAGCAACTTCACCCTTCCCTGAAAATGCAGTATTTTTTGCACATCTCTCAACTAGCTTCAAAGAGGAAAGAACACTCCTTGGGTGGGTGGCTGTGCTCTCAAGAGTCCATTGGAATGTGTGAAGACATACTGGCACCTCTATTTAAATTTCTCTCTCATCTTTCTTTAATTCTGTGTTTCATAATGTGCATAATAAATACTTCGTAAGTGAATAATAAACATATCTGGTGATACGTGCTCACTGGTTTTTACTGATCCTAAAAGTTTGAAAACTACTGTTATATACAGTAGTCCTATATGAACTCAATAGGAAGTGTCCATGTATTAGTTATCTATGGTTTTGCTTTTCAAGATTTTATTTTCCATAGTCAATAGCAGTCTGAAAATATTAAATGGAAAATTTCAGAAATAAACAATTGGTAAGTTTTAAATTGCGTGCCATTGTGAGTGGTGTGATGAAATCTTATGCTGTCCTGCTCTGTCCTTCCAAGATGTGAATCATCCCCTTTGTCCAATGTATCCACACCGTATACAGTACCCACCCGTTAATCACTCTGTAGCCATCCCAGTTATCGGATCGATTGTCACAGTGTCACAGCACTTGTGCTTACTTATTAAGTAAAATAAGTAAACTTTAAGAAACCCTTATTTTACTTAATAATGGTTCCAAGGCACAAGAGTAGTGATGCTGGCAATTTGAGTATGCCAAAGAGAAGATGTAAAGTGCTTTCTTTAAGTGAAAAGGCAAGTTACAGTACTACAAGATATTTTGAGAGAAACTACATTCACGTAACTTTTATTATAGTATATTGTTATAATTGTTCTATTTTACTTTTAGTTATTGTTGTTGATCTCTTACTGTGTCTAATGTATAAATTACACTTTATCATAAATATGTATGTGAAGGAAAACACATAGTATATATAGGATATAGCACTATCTGTGATTTCCAGCATCCACTAGGAGTCTCAGTACATATCCTCTGCAGATAAAGGAGGACTACTCTACACCTTTTTATCAATTAATCATGACACCTTTGAGTATTTACCTTTTACATTATAATTTTAGTATAAGAAGTTTTGATCTTGATGGAAGTGTCCATGTATTAGTGTTCATTGCACTTCTCATAACACCTAACAGTGGTGCACTAATGGATAATGATGATGATGATGATGCTTTGGCTAGAAATACTAGTTGTGATATTAGATTAATTAAAAAAATAATACGGTATGCAACTACATAATACCTTAAATGCTTTCTATGTGTTTTCACTTGAAAAATTCCTTTTCTACTTTACCATAATCTAGCAGAAAAGTGAGGAAAAGCATCATTATCTCTGCATTCCACTTGAGGAATCTCAGACTTATAAAGAGTTAAGGAACTCCTCATTGGCACACAGCTAGTCCATGGAAATATCAAGACTAAAACGATAATACTCTTAACTTAATAATTTTTATTAGGTACTAGTATCCTTATAAGAAAATGAAAGGACCATTATGAAATGCTTTTTTCACAAACCTTTTATATGAACTTAATAGCAGAATAGCAGTGATAGTAAAATTAATTAATAAAAAAATAAAAAATAAATGCTGCAGTAAAGATATTTACATCCATATCTGAAAGGGTTATTTGCTTTTCTCATTTCAAGAGGTAGTATAATAACAACAGAAAGAAAGTGATCTTAGAAGCCTGAGTAAACATGTGATGTTTTGCTCATTTGTTCAGTTTTTGCTGTCACCACCCACTATTTATACACGCTCCCTGTATTTAGAGAATTCCCTTCCTCGAATCTATTGCTCTTTAAGGTAGAAGCCTCCCTAGAAGCTAAGATGAAGCCATGTGACCTGGGCTCAGCCAATCAGACATGACAATTCAAGAAGCAGGTGCCAGTGGACCCCAAAGGGTAGGGTGAAGGCTATCCCTAAGGCAACGGTAGCAGCAACTCTAGTTTAGCACCCACTGTCTAGCATTGGCTTAGTGAGCTGTTCTATGCCTAGCAGAGTAGGGAGGGTGGAGCAGTTTTGTGCTATGAATTGGAACTATTGTGTATAGCCTCCATGGCTCCAGGCCAGAGAGACCTACCAAAGAAGATATTGTAAGATTTAATAAATTTTTCTTTTCTGCTTCAACTAGTTAGAGTGGGTTTCTTTAGAGATTCTGTGCAAGCTACTTAATCATGCTGAATCTGTTTCCTCATCTGTAAAATGGAAAATAGAAATACCCAAGATCATTTTAAGGATTGGCGCTAATGTACATAAAATGCTTAGCACCACAAGAGCTTAAAAGATAGTCAATATTACTTGCACTATAAAGAGAGCGATGTCCTGTTCAAGTGCCTGCACAAATGCTTGAGGTGAAAGACCCTCATAAGTGGGCATTATTTCAGGGCCAAGTACTGATAATGCAAAAAAAAAAAAAAAAAAACAAGAATCTACAGTACCTTCGGATCCAGGATTGTTCCAAACACCAAGATAAAGAAGCCCTAAGAAAGACAGACAAGGGAAGAAGAGCCATTTACAAAATAATAATTATAACAATAACAAGAAATACCAGCATTAGTTACCAGTTACTATTCTGGAACTAATAAAAATAATAAAATGAAAACAATTGTATTCAATCTTTGACTCTCTCATTTTAAGGTCACAACATCTACATTCATTCATTCAACAAATATTGATTCAGCATTTTCTATGCGCTAGTCACCGTTCTAGATGCTTGGGCATGTCTGAGTAAACCAAACAGATCAAGGTCCCTGATTCACTTTTTTTTTTTTTTAATTTGAGCAAAATAGAAGTGTTTTGCATTTATCAGGAGCTGTGCATCTCACCAGAAGATAATGGTCCAAGCGAGAGTCAGAGAAGATGTTGGGAAATGAAGGACAGCCTTGCAGACCCTGAACGATCAGCAATGAAAGAAACTTCCACAGAAAAAAGAAAAAGCGGCTATGCTCAACCTCTTTCCCACATCTATAACCAGAGACTTACAAAACTTGCAAAGAAAAACCAAGTTCATGGATCCTCAGGAAAGCTAAAATCCCAAAACCAGATTTTCTAAGCACGTAATGGGTACTCAGAAATAAGTGTTCCAAATATGATGACATAGAGACTGAATTCACTCTCATATCTCTTGTCATCTATACAAAGATAAACACCATTAAAGTCAAAAGGAGACTGTTCCTCCATCATTATAGTCCATGTGAGTTTTTGATTTATTTTTCATATGCAATATCACAAAACCACCCAAGAAGAAGAAGGAAAAGTATTTATCTCATTTTTCAGGTAAGGAAAAGGAAGCTCAGAGATTTAACTTTCAAAATACAGTAGATAGCAACATTCATTAGACAAAATTTCTCTTGAAGGTGTGGTTACTCAGATCTTGGTTCACTTGAAAAGAGAGGTGAGATGATGACATCCTTGTTAAGCTGCTCTGCTTTCATAATCAAATATGAACTCTTACCCAAGCAGAGACCTGTCAAGGCACATGGGTTTAATACAAAATAAGAAAGATGTTCCAACCAGGTGGTAAAAACAAACCTGCTGCTATCTTGATTTGTAAAAGCTCAGCTGAGAGGTGGAGGACTTCACAGGGACCAGTGCATGGCCATGTAGCTCATCCATTCCCCCAAACACACTAAAATACACTACTCCATTCAACCAGTCCAGCAAGTGCTCCAAAGCCTGGAGTGTTTCTTTCACGTTGCTTTTTCGTGTGACACTCTTAGCCTACAAGATAACTATCCAAATCTGTCATTGGTCTACTAAGAAAATGTCATTGATGGTATGACCCATTAGGTTATAAAGTACTGTTCGTAAAAAGATGCTTGGAACAAATACATCCCAATCTGATTCTGGCACTGGGAATACATTTTAAATCAGAATCTCCATGAATTTTTCTCAGGAATTAAATTTTGTAAAAATCTGGGAACCACAATTCTAGTGTGTTTTTTCCACAACCACAAATATACATTCCTTTAGCTAAAGGACTAAGAGGAATTTCTCTCCTTGTAAGATTTTCAGTTTCTTGAGTTTGGATTAATTAAATTTATATCTGCAAGAAAACATAGGAACTAAACTCAAGGACCTTGGACTTAAAGAGGATTTTATGAATTTGACCTCAAAACCAAGGAAAATAAAAGGTAAAATAACTGAATGAGACTACATCAAACTAAAAAGCTCTGCTCAGCAAAAGAAATCGTCAGCAAGGTAAAGAGACAACCATCCGAATGGGAAAATATATTTACAAGCAATGCCTCTGATAAGGGCCTAATGTCCAAAATATACAAAGAACTCATACAACTCAATAACAACAAAAAACAAATGATCTAATCAAAAAAAAGTGCAGAGGACCTGAACAGACACTTCTCGCCAGAGGACATACAAATGGCCAACAAATATTTGAAAAGATGCTCAACATTGCTAGCAATTAGGGAAATGCAAATCAAAACCACAATGAGATACCATCTCACACCTGTTAGAATAGCTATAATCAATGGAACAAGTAATAACAAATGCTGGAGAGGACGCAGAGAAAAAGGAACCCTCATACACTGCTGGTGGGACTGCAAATTGGTACAGCCACTATGGAAAACAGTATAGAGATTCCTCAAAAAACTAAAAATTGATCTACCATATGATCCAGCAATCCATCTACTGAGTATTTGCCACAAAGACTTGAAAACCCATATCTGAAAAGATATTTTCACACCAATGTTCATAGCAGCATTACTCATAGTGCCAGGACATGGAAGCTACCAATATGTCCTACGATAGATGATTAGATAAAGAAGCTTGGTACATATATACAATGGAATATTACTCGGCCATAAGAAGAGATGAAATACTGCCATTTGCGACAACATGGATGGCCCTCGAGATAATCATGCTAAGCGAAATAAGCCAGACAGAAAAAGTTGAAAATCACATAATATCACTTATATGTAGGGTATAAACCTAAAAGCAACAAATGAACAAGACAAACAAACAGAGACTCATGGACATGAACAATAGACTAGTGGTTACCAGAGGGGAGTGGAGAGGAGAGAGAGGGGAGGTAGATGGGATAAAGGGGGTCAAATATGTGGTGACAGAAAGAAATCTAACTATGGGAGGTGAACACACAGTGTAAATATATATATGCCTTACTATTAAAAAAATTTATATCTGCAACACTGAGCATAAGGCTCGACATCAAATAAATACTCAAAAAATATAGTGCCTCTGTGTATTTGTGTGTGTGCCTGTGTGTTAAATTTTTTATTGTGCAATCCACATCTGAATAGCTGTAAATGTGTAACAGGGGAATAGTCCACTGGGATTGCTTTTCCTTGGTCCATGCCCCCTTGGGAAAAGTTACACAAAATATCATTCAGAAAACTTGTATAAAATATTGATCATAAAGTTCAGTTTCTGATTGAGAAGAATTTATTGGTAGCAGCTAATCGCATTTCTTTTAGCAGATAAAGCACAACTTGAGCAGATAAATCTCACAGTATTCGCCCAGGTTTTAAAATATGTGTTAAATCCTAACACCCAGTGTGAAAGTACTTGGAGGCATGCCTTTGGGAAGGATTAGGTCCTGAAGGCACAGTCCTCATGGAAGAGATTAGTGCCCTTGTAAAAGGCCCCAGAGAACTCCCTGTCCCTTCTACCAAGTGAGATTATAGCGAGAAGACAACTGACTCTCACAAGGCACCAGATCTGCATACACCTTGAGCTTGGACTTCCCAGCTTCCAGAACTTTGAGAAATGGATTTCTGTTGTTTATAAGGCACTCAGTATAATGAGGGTCCCCAAAACTTACCCAGACCGCAATTATTCTCAGTAAACACAAGAGAGGATACCAACCAGAAGTTATGGATTGACAAAGTAGCATTCGAGGCAGCAACTGACAGTGTAACAATTCTTCCTTAGTCAAGGGGGTGGTTAAGCTTTAAAACCAGTGGAGGTGCTCCCACTGGCCTAGGACCCATAAATCTTTAAAAGGGCCTTTCTCGCACATCTACTGGACCTTCTCTCTTCTCCATCTACTCCATCAGTCTCAGAATGCTAAAATGTATTTTTAAGTGAAAAAGTAAGTTGCATAATACTATACATTGTTTTTTAACTCCTATATGATATGAAAAAAAATATAGTATATAACCATAGAAAATTTGGCAAGGATGCGCATGAAACTGTGAACATTGTTTAATTTACAGAGGTAAGGTAAGAGAGGAGAGGAGAGGAGAAAATATCCTTAATATTACTCTGTATGGCTTGCTTCATTAAAATAAGATGTTTCCAGTGGTAACTAAACATTCTAAATGGAATAAAATATAAATGTGCACATGTAAATACCTCCAGTTAGATACTTCTATTTTAGGCGAAGCACTACTGTTTAATTTTTAAACAGCTATGGCTCAGCCTAAACTTAAGCTATTAATGAACTTTAGGTCATTTTAGTACTTGGTGCTTTCCTGTTCATTATTTCATTTTCTAAACACTCATAAAGTGGGCAGATTATACCCCTTTTATAAGTGAGGAAAATATGGCTTGGAAAAGTCAAGCACATGTCCCAGGAGAATCTTACACATTAATTAATGAGAGAGTAAAGGTTTGAACGCAGGCCTTTCTGGAACGAAAGCTAATTTCCTGACCCAATATGCTATTCCCAAACCACTGTCTTATAAAGAAATATGATACCATGACTTCCTGATCACAAAACGTCTTCCTGAATTCTTTTACTTCGGAGTTGGTCAGAAGCCTCTGCACTTACCTGGAATGCATTGAGCAAGGAGAAGAGAATGTGGAAGACCAGAGATCTATCGTTGATGACTATGGCTATTCCGAATCCCCAGGTCAGTCCCAGCAGTGGTGTGAGGACGGCGATATTCTTACTGATTCTCACAATGGCTCTCACCTCGTGGAACATAGAACTGCCAATGGCAGCTCGCTGGGTTTTGATAATCACCAGTGTGACTGTGATCAGGTTTACTACCACAACGGCCAGAGCTGGGACCACAAAGGCCAGGAGGGCCTTGGTCATGTCCCAGTTGAGCCAGCAGGCCTCAGGTCGTAGATATCCTTTGCCAGGCTCAGTGGCAGCAACTGTGATAACCGCAATGATCAAAGGGCACCCATAGCCCACTGAAAAGAGAGATGCCACCAGAACTGACTTGGGTAGTGTATGGAAAACAATCAGGATTTCGTAGAGGATAAGGAGTGCTTTGGCAAGCATCCAGAAAAACACAGAAAGGTAAAAGAAATGAACAAAAAAAGTTGCTGCCACACATCCATTATGGTGTGTCACTGGACCACTAAGAAAGGAAGCCACTATGAACCACACATCGGCCATCAGCAAGGTGGCCGCAATGTTAGCGATGCACAAGTGGCGTAAATACGAGATCTCTGTCTTCGTCACTTGGCTCCAGACCAAGGCCTCAATGGACAAACAAAGGATCAAGCTGCAAATAGAAATGCCCAGGCCTATGTACATGATATAAATCAGAACCGGACTCTCCAAGATGCGAGGTGCCATAAGAATGGAGAACGAGGTAAACAACTTGCTTGGCCTACATTTGCAAACAGCTTGTTGGTAGTTTTCCTGAATCATTTGACAGGCCTGTCGGTCCCATCTGCTTTCCAAGGAGTGCCAGCCAACACACTGTGTCCTCCTCTCTTCTGACTTGCTGATCTTTTCGAAAATCAGTGAGATTCTTTCCAGTTCTTTGGGCAAAATGACAGACAGGACAAGCCCATTCACACTGGCCTTTTCCAAAAGACTGGCTTCTAAGATGGCGCCAAGAGTTGGAAATGCAATGCTAATGACCTGAGAATGGGAAGGCACATTCTCAAGTTCATCTCTACTGATCGACAGCCTTCCAGTGACTTCATTGTTGGTGTCATTAACTCTCATTGAAAAAGTTAAATTCTTTCCATCATTATCTCTAGATATGGTGGTGCCTAGAGTATGAATGAAGACATCCGATATGTCAATGGAATGTTTATTTATAAGTAGTTTTCTTGCAAAGGTATTGACTGAGTGTAGCAGGACACAGCTGCTGTTTCTTTCAGGGATGAAGGTCCAGTTTGAGATGCTTTCGCTGTTCAGAATGTGGTTGGCCATGATGCTGTAACTCTGCCAATGAAGAACCGGCATTAGTACTGAGCCACTTTCTGAACCTGTCAGGACACTCAAGCTTCAGTTTTATAAAGTGTGGTCCTCCAACCAGCAACACAGGTATCCCCTGGGAACCTCTTAAAGATACAGAATCTCAGGCCCCACCCCAGACCTAATGAATTATAATCAGTAGCTTAATGAGATCTCCAGGTGACTCACATACCGCTCAAGTATGAGTTGAAGAATAACGCTACAAGGGAGCTGCCCTCCTCCCGTTTATGCAATGACTTCCTGTGAGACAGGCAAGCAGGCAGCCTTCACCATGCTCATTTCACACCTGGGCCAAACCAGCAATTTTGCTTACCCCGGTCAGAGTAGCCACTGAATAAGTAACATCTATTAAATCCAAACTGTGTGCAGGAACCTTGTATGGGAACATACCAAACTGGAAATTGTCCCCAGAAACTGAACCTCCTTTTTACTATCGTCTACTTCAAAGATCAAAAACAAAAGAAATGGGTCCAGTTCCATTTCACATTTCTGAAGCAGACATGTATGGCTGTTTTCTTTGCATTCAGTTATTTTCCATGTTAGCAACCTGTTCTGACTCACAAAGAAAACTCTTCCTCTTGTGGTTTTCAGAGGTTTTCAGGAGCCAAAATAAACATCGGAAAAGTGTACTTCAGCATCCAATCTATCATCCAGCAAGTACTCTCTCTAAATGTTTGTTGATTGAATATGTTCACTTTTTCCATTTGTTCATTCTTTCTTCAATGAAGATTTATTGAATGCTTACCATGCTAAGTGTCAAAGTTTCTGAGGTAAAAGACACCTCAGACCCCAAAAAGCTCACAGAATACTCCAACTAACCTGCATTCCTCCCCCCAAAAAATGCTCTCCCAGATACTCAAGGATACTCACCTGCATCTTTGCCTCATCGACATTTGTCAACAGCGCTGTCGATATGTTGTGCAGGAGCTGCACAATGACAGCGATGTTTCCCGGTATCCGGGGAGAGCGCCGAATGTTCGTAATGACACAGGACAAGTCCTGAGGACACTTTTCCATCAACTTATCTGCAATGGTCTCAGAATCTCTGGAATATTCATTTATTTTTATTGTTTCTTTAACTGTTGCAACTGAATTTAAATGCTCCTAAGAGACAGAAAAAAAAGATGTTTTTGTCATGTTACTTTTGTTTTAAACATAAAAGTGCCTTTACTAAAATGTACGACAGCCTTATTACACAAGTGTATATTTCATAATGTTCTTCTATTTTACATTTTCAAAATCACATCCGCTGTGGAATAATTTACCCAATACCAAGGTGTATGAGCAGAGAATGGAAGTCCCAGCTTGCTATCTGCCTATGCTTGAACCCCCTACCCCCAAGTAGCAACTGTTATCTTTGGCTATCACTTTAGACCTCTATTGTGGATATACATTGTAGACAGATCCTGTGCATACAGGTAAATTCCTAATGCCATTTAAGCTTATGTTTTACTCTTACCAAGGGGCAAGGCATGAGACACAGCATGTTTTTAAAACAGAAATTCTGAACTAGATTT